CGTGCTGTGGTGTGGAATAGCCCTTTGGGCAGTTTGGGTCAGGTGTCCTGTCTCTGCTTCCTCCCGGCTTCCCCTCCTCCCTGGCAGAGCATGAGACTGAGAAAGTCCTTGCTCAGAGTAAACATTACTGAGCAACAACTAAAACCATCGGTGTTATCAGCGTTGTTCCCAGGCTGAAAGTCAGAAACACAGCACTGCACCAGCTACTAGGAAAGAGAAAAGTAACTGCTACAGCTGAACCCAGGACAGATCCACAAAGCTGCACATTCCAAAATGAATGATGCTTTCTTCTGGTATAAGGAAGCCAATTAACCAATATCCTGTGCAGGAAACAAAAGTTTAAATAAGGTATTTAACTGTAGCTCCTCATAAGATATGAATCCATTACAGGCACAGTTCTGCATCAAAAACTGTCACACTGTGTAGACTCAGTGACCTGCTGCAGCCCAACAAGCTGATAATTCAAAAGCTGTTCTGTGAAAGACTTTCAGCTCACACCAAGACATAAAGCACAAAGCACAGAAGTACAAAGCAAAGCTGCTCTCCTGATGTGCTTTTGAATGTGGGCCAGCCAAGAACCCCGTTCTAAGTTCCCTGTTTAAACCTCACAGAGACTAATGAAACAGCAGCATGCAAAATCTCATTTCTGTTTTCCACTCAGTAAGCGCCAGCAGACAGCCAGTTAGAAAGAACAGAGAAGTCTTTTGCTTGTGTTTTCCCTCTTGCCTCTCAATAATGCAACATTCTTCTACTTTCACTTTTCATTAAATATAACCTTTTCTGTACGTGGCTGCTATCAGCTCCGCGTACTCAGTCCCAAACAGGTTACAGCATGAGCTTTTCAATCACACAATACAGAATTCAATAGAAACTTGCATTTTTTTTCCCTTTCACATGTCTAGAACCAGTCATTTAATATATAACCCTTACAAAAAAAAAAAAAAATCATTAAATTACATTTCCAGAATGAACTCTACAGTTTAAGCAGTATTTTAATATACTGGGAACTTCTCTTTTAGGGGCTCGCCCAAGCCTGCTCGCCCTTCTACACCAACTAATCCATCAAAGTTTGCCAAAATGATGGTAGATGTGGATAAATGTCCCCGTTGTGGCAAATCAGTGTATGCTGCAGAGAAGATCATGGGAGGAGGAAAAGTAAGTAGTTACTACAGGACCAGAAACAAACACACTTCTATAATGGTGAGAAACTACCACAAATAGGTCCTTGATCTTTTAAGTTTTTGCTCAGTGTCAAATGAAAAACACACAAGGATGAATCAGTAAATTGCTAGAGTCTGATGTACATTCCAGGTTTAACACCATGTGCTTTTCTTAAGATGACTTCAACTTTATATATCTTGTTTGTGTCTGAAGAACAACTCCTGGTCTCTGTTAAGGCTAACTCTACCAGCACTGTTATTCTATCATCATCTCTGGGGATATTTACCATTCCAACATTTATTGGTAGTGACAATTGCAGATTTATTAGAGATCCCACGGCTAGAAAAAACAAAGGCCTGTCTCACATGACATGCTAGCTGTCTGCTCTAGGAACTCTCACTAGAATATTATCTCTGCATATCAAAGAAGTGGCCAAACCAAGAGTAACGTTATAGCTCCCTGCTTTTCACCTGACCTTCATTAATAACAGAGTGACTAGGTTAGATTTTGACATGGGATAATAAAGTAACCGAAAAAAGACTAACCCAGAATGTCTAAAAATGGAAGCCATATGACCAGCAAAATTATGTTAACCTTTTCACACCATAAAAATCAATAGTTTTGTTCCTTCTATCTGCTAGCTGTGTGCTTTTGGTAATATAAAATGAATTGCCTTCATTTCCTCAGCCTTGGCATAAGACATGCTTCCGTTGCGCTATTTGTGGGAAGAGCTTAGAATCCACGAATGTTACAGACAAAGATGGAGAGCTCTACTGTAAAGGTAAGAACTGCAAAGAGCTGAACTGGGTTACTGAGACAACCAAAAATGAGTCTCTTCAGACCTAGTACTGCCACCATGATTTACCTTGCTGTAGGCTTCACTACTCCACAAAATCCCATTTTATCTTTTTTTAACAACTTTCTGAAAGCAAAAGTAACATTGCAGTTTCATCTTCTACTGTAAACATGGAATTTTTCAAGTTGTAATTTTTCTACAAGTGTAACACTCTCTCACCTCTGTCCTCAGACCTTCTAACAGGAACACTGGCCAGATCTGCTGGGCAGCGTCTTGTACCTGCAGAATCTCACTCACTAAAAACAACGTAAAATATCCACAAAGATACAGATCTCTAAAGGTTGTCATGATGCAAGATCTAATTTGAGTCCTAATTTGAGTTCTTGCCAGTGAAAGTTCAAAGATTCTTCCACATTAATGCTAAATTATACATCCAAATGTTTTTCTTGGATCAAGAAAGTTCACAGATTTCACTTGACTCTTAGAAATAGCTTAAGGGGAAAAACATGCAAAGTTTTTTTATCCTAGGCTAAACTCGATAGGGAATCCTGGAGGAGAATACGTAAATTCTGTGGCTTTGGGTACAGTGACAACTACATGTGATCAAATCAGCATATCTGCAGAAATCTGCTGACCTTTACTACTTCCTTAGCAGAGTTCTGACAAATAGCTATGCATACACTTAGCAATACAAAGTTGAAATGGAAACTACCATCAATAGTTTCTGAACTATCCTCTTTTAACCTCCCTGTAAAATTTCTGACTTATTACTCTACCTGTATTACTCGTGCAGACCAAGTTTTACTGGGTGTTTTCAGGCAGCAAAGTAGCTTTAATGAAAATGTTACATCCTAAATGCATATAGTTCCTTTATTTTTTTTTGGAGAAGATCAGATGCAACTTCTGTTTAATTCAAACATGTGACTCCAACTGTACACTGACACTTCTGGGAATGAAACCATTTCAGATTTCCTTCCTTTTATTAACGTTAATTTTGTAGTAGTACTAAAGCCAAAAGTCATTTACCTCTATGTGAAAACATTCAAAATACCATTTACCTCCCTCCTCCTTTTGCAGTTTGCTACGCAAAAAATTTTGGTCCCAAAGGAATTGGCTTTGGTGGCCTCACTCAAGTGGAAAAGAAGGAGTGCCAATGAGAAGCAACGGACGCAACAGACTCAAACTGCTGTTGATGCCACCACCCAACAGCTGTCAAGTAAAACATTAAAGATCATATGTTGCTAAGAACCTAGGGCATTTGTTTAATCTTTTTCACTTTGCAGGAAAAAACTTGTAAGCTTGTATCTTAAGAAATTCTTAGATTAGCTTAGGAAAGGCAAAGTAGATGTGATTCACTTTGAGACATTTAAAAGGGATTTGAAATTCTTTCTCTCAAAGGGAGGTATTTCTGAAGCAAATCAATATTTTCTTAGAATACAGTGTTGTAAGTTTTGTTATTGTATGTTTACAAGCTACAATAAAGTCCTGCTACTGCTTCACGTTGCTTTTTCTTGAATTTGCTTGTGCATTGTTCTACAACATCACAGATAAATGCATTTCACCGAGATGAATTAAATCCCCCACTTCTTAACTACAGGAATTGCACCTCATTGCAGTTCTTTAGTGTTGCCAATTCTAGATGGTATTTATTTTTCTGATCTTGATCTGTTTCCCTGCTGGTTTTCATTATCACCTACCTTGACTTACACTCAAATCCACACTGCCCTTCTGGGGAACATGGCTGACATCTATTTATTAAAGATCTATGCATGCAGCTGGAAAAAAAAGAAATCACTCTTTTTGTATACATTTGTTGCGGTTTAAGCCCAGCTGGTAACTCAGAACCACGCAGCCGCTCGCTCACTCCCTGCTTTTTCCCCTCCCTGCTCCCGGAGGGATGGGGAGGAGAATTGAAAGAATGTAAATCCCACGGGAACAGTCCAGTAACTAAGGTATAATACAAAACTACTACTGCTAGCACCAATAATAATAATGATAAGGGAAATAACAAGGGGAGAGAATATGAAATTAAAAGGGGAAAAGGAAAACAATAAGCACAAGTGATGCACCATGTGATTGCTCGCCACCTGCAGACCGATACCCAGCCCGACCCGAGCAGCGATCTGGGCCTTCCGGGTAACTCCCCCCAGTTTCTATACTGGCCATGACGTGCTGTGGTGTGGAATACCCCTTTGGCCAGTTTGGGTCAGGTGTCCTGTCTCTGCTTCCTCCTGGCTTCCCCTCCTCCCTGGCAGAGCATGAGACTGAGAAAGTCCTTGATCAGAGTAAGCATTACTGAGCAACAAGTAAAAGCACTGGTGTGTTTATCAGCGTTGTTCCTGGACTAAAGTCAAAAACACAGCACTGCACCAGCTACTAAGGAGAAAAATTACTGTTACAGCTGAACCCAGGACTACATTGCCTTTATCCACCATCAACGTATCATACGCTATGGTCATATGCTAACAGGGCATAATATACATGCAAAACAGGAGGCAAAAATCAGGTTCGTTCTTAGTGCTTTGTGCCTACCTGTTCTTACATACCTCACTGGTCACAAATCCATTGAATCTATTTCAGTCTGTAAAAACACACTTAGAAGCAAGAAAGATCTATTTTATTACATGTAAACCCTCCAAATACAAATACTTAAAAGAGTTTTTCACAACATCAGTAATAAAATTATAGTGCAACTGTAACTTTCTTTTTAATATGAACATTCCCCTCATTTACAAATATAATTTTCTTTTATTATCCGCAAAATAAAGCAAAGGCTACCACAACATGGTTTTGAAATTCCACCCTATAAACTTACCTTAAAAAAAACACTGTTAGTCACATAAAATTTCAAATAGTTTCAGTTCAAACTATGCATCACAGACATATAGTGATTGTTTCATATACAAACCTGCTGTAGCTTATGCAAGATTTTAAACAATAATAAAAATAAATACAAGGAACTTCAGAAGAATCTGTAAAAATTAATAAAATATCCAGTTTTATTTAGCTTTCAGCTCAACGGTTTCAGAAATTAAGCAAAGCTTCATACAGAATGAACAGTTTTCTCCTTTGCCAGATAAAAAACGTTGTACTGCTTGGTCCAGTCAACTACATTGGGTTTGAACATACCAAAGCAACTGCACTGAAAAAAGTCTGCAAGGTTCTGGAAGCATCCAAGACTGAAAAGGAGAGAAATACCCATTAATAAACCTAACAAAAGAAGACTGCAAGCATCAAAAACACACATTCACCATAAGACAGTACGTAAGACAGATATAAGGCTGTCAATGAAGACAGCTCTGGGAAAAGAAACATAAGCACAGTTCTCCATTGACCATCATTCCTTTGTTGAACTTTTACAACCTTTATCACATTATAGAGTGAGAACAGATTAAGTTCATCTCAAATATTTAAAAGTTGGTGTTTAGTAAGATCTCATCCGCTACCATACATGAGGAAACACAGACTCCTAGTATAACGAGGAAACCTTGGTACTGGTTTCTCTGTTGAACTAAATACTGCAAGAGAAGGCAGAAAGGAGCCACTTCACACCTTAATTCTCTTTCTAAACCTACAGCTCACACACAGAGATTGATGAACAAATTCAAGGACAACATCCCCTCATCCCCCAAAATGGTGTCTACTGATGAATGCTATGGATGGATTTTGGCACCTCCTTTTCCTATATACACAGCCATTCAGAAAGAAGCTGAGCAGCTCTTATGCTGGCTGTTTATTTCCCAGGGCAAAGCGAGTTCTCAGCAAGGCAAATGAGGTCCACTCCTTCCTCTTAGCATAATTCCTACAGGCATCACCAGCACATCCACAGAACACCACTTTTATGAAACAGTGAAGCAAATTCGTACTGAAACGTGTTTAAAACATGCTCTTCATGAATACTCACTTGTATGGAGTTCTCCTGAGCGAAACAGCATGCTTAGAAGATTTTCTCTGCAGCAGGAGGTTCGTTCTTTCATGCGACGTCAATCCCAAGAATGCAATCTTGTCAAAAGGAACATGTAAAACTCGGTTAAAACATGAACATCACAAATTCAAATTCTGGTGATACCAAAAGCTACTATTAGGAAGGGAGGGATAGGAAGAGGTTTGCATAGCTAACAAATAAGTAACTACTGCCATAATTAATGACTGAAAAGTATGTTTTTGAAAAGTATGCCACTTGGACTAAAACAACCCAGCAAGCTGTAACATTAGCACTTCTGCTGAGGCAGCAAGCTTATTTGGGATGACTGTAAAGACTGTACTTTCACAGATGTCTACAGAAGCATAAGATCTACAGCCATTAAACACCTATCTCCTCAGATTTTGTCTATAATCTACCACGCAAATTGGCAAAGGAAGATCCTCCAGAAAAATCAAGTAGCTTAGCAAAAAAGATGAAGCAGATGTCAGAGACTCAACTTGTGCATTTTCTTGATTCCATGTCTTCTTTATTAAGCTTCACAAAATGAAGGAAGTTTTTTTTCTGCATATTTGCTTGCCTATTCTTTCTTCCATTTTCTTATTTTCTTAGCAAAATCTTATAGGGTCTTTGGCTGAATACCACACTATCATAAAGCAGTACATTTACAAATGACTGTGCACAAAACATGGTAGTTAACTGTAAATATCCTACCTAGATCCTTTTCCAGCATGGTATCTCAGCAAGGGACAGGATGTAAGGTCAGCATGGACATTACAGACATCTAGCAGTACGCATTGCAAGTTGTGGATATTTTTTTAAACACAATGGAAAAAAAAGGCTCTGGCTCAGAATGCTTAACACATATTCAGATGACACATCTTTTCTAAAAGCTGCTAAACAAGCTCTTTCCTACATGTTTCAAGACAGCTCTTCTCCATCTTGTTTGCGTAGCCAAGTGCTCTCTGAGAACAACATCGCCAAGAAATTTGACAGTCCTCACCAGGATAAAATCCAGCTCATCTTTTTATTGTAGCAGTGGGATTTAATACAGTGTAATGCACTGCTGAGTTCTGCCATGGGATTTTTGATTCAGGCTAATTGTCTTATCGAGCATGTGTGCCATTTTGGGGGCAGTAATACATGTTCTATTAGTAAAATATCTTTAAAGAAGTCTTTACAGTTTTGGAAATTTTGATGAGTAGCAAACCCAGAACTCAGTGATAAGAATGATTTGCAGACTGTGATCCTATTTTTAACATGGGAATGTTGAATGCACAAGTACCCGTGAAACTTAAAGAACTGCCCTGAGATTTAAGGAAAGCACCTAGACGTGACATTCATTAATCAAGGAAAGCAGGCACAAAGTTTTTATGAGAGCAGATCAGATAGGGAAAAGTGTTAATATGATGACTCTTAAAGAGAGAAGCAGAAACTGAAACAAAGTACTACCTGATAGAGCTGAACAGTCAGCCACAATGAAGCCCATCCAGTATGAAAACAGGCCAGTACAAACATATAGGAAACCCATGGGGAACAACAGATTATCTGTGTGAAGTACATCCATGCTCCATCTTGATGATAACTTGTTGGACAATGACTTGTCCAATCTGGCAAGATGAATAATCAGTTAATTATGTTTTTAGGCCACTTAAGAAATGAACAAAGATTGTTTGCATGGAATTAATATTACACAGCAATATGATCTAGAATACCATATTTAATAGATCACGTTCCCACTTCAAAGCAGATTTTGACTGCTTGCTATTCTGACTGTATAATCTCTACATTATGTATTCATAACTCACAGACTGAACATTCAAGGCACTGACTATGTACACTTTGATATTATATTGAAAGAAGTCATCACCTCTCATTGTCAAGACGTCTGAAATTTTGCTTCATGCTCATTTGTAATTTTAGGAGAAGAACTTATTTATCTTTAATACCATCATCAACAAAAGAAGACATGATGGTGACACTGCCAAGAAAGCAGCATTTACCACTATTAAGGAGATGTAAACTGGAACCCCCACCTTCTGTAAACTTCCTAAGAGATACTTAAAGCCTACCACATAGGCATTTAACCTATTAAAAAAACCCCAGAAACTAGGAGCAGAGCAACTTCTTTTCGCCTCTGTGTCAGTAGAACAACGAAGAAGTTTTCCTCCCATGTTCCTGCACTCATGGGAAGTAGAGGAAAACCATATGCTTTTTGCATATATAAGACCACCACTGACAGGAAAGCAACACATGTTCACTCAAGTGTCCTGTGTTCTCCACCGCAACAGCTGCTTCACTTCACTCTATCTTGAACACTGCTTCATTTCAATATAATGAGAAGTAATATAAAATAAAATTTAGAACTTCTTTTTACTTAAAAGGTTAGCTGTATAACCACATTCTAAGGGCTTTACTCTCTCCAAGGAATGTCTCAATTTTCCAGTTTGGATTTATCAGTTAAATAGACAGCTCTTTTCAAAGTCATCACTACCTTAAAAACAAAAAGAAAGAAACTTTGGCAAGTGTTCAATATAGGTATTCCCAAATAAGAAAATCAATAAAGCCTTCGCAATGATGCATTTACAAACTTATTTTCCATTGCAGTGAAGGTTATCCAGGCTAGAAACTGTAATGTGACATTCCTCCATGCAGCTTCCCTATTTCATCTAAGAAAAATGCTTCCTGATACTGTATTTCCCAACAGACATCCCACTAGAGCTGTATAGTAGCTCTTAGTCGACACACACGTAATCACGCATTTGACCAAAGACTCAGATATGATGTATTTTCATTTAAAGACAGAATTACAAGATAACAGCACTGCTGAAATACAGTATTATTTGTGCAAGTATCATTACGCTTGCTGGAAATGAAATACTGAAAATTAAAGACCATACACACGTCTTTGAAAGGTAACTTGAAATAAATTCATGGATACATACACAGAAGAGTTCCGTAAAGCACCCAGACACCGGTCATAGTTAGGAATGACAGGAACAGCAGGTAGTAACGATGGTTCCCAATGCCTGAATTTGAGACAAGATAGAAAAAGAAAGGCTGACTTTCTAAAATTCAGCAGTATTTGCATTTCCCCTTAAGTTCATAGGAATAAAAAGGCAGACAGATTTGTTTCTTCTTCAGAGATTGCCTTTAGCTGTTTTAGCTAGATGAGGACTAATTATGCAACCATAGCTCTTACCATGCATCTACAATTGTCTCATATGACTGAAAAATCTAAGCTGTTCCAAAATCTAAGCTGTTCCAATTTAATTGTTTGACCTTTGTGCACTTCAGAACTGCAAACGCAGGCATGAAAAGCACAGACTTCTGTCAGAGAAACTGTTACATGAAGATATACAACCATTTTCCTTTAAATTACAACCAGTATTCCTCAAAATTTGGAAATAATGCATCAGAACGACGTCACCACCTTATAGCCAACCATGTATAAGTATTTTCAAGTATTTAACATTGCAAAACAGCAATGGGCAACAAAATGCTAAAAATATATTGCTACAGATGTAAAACTTGAACCTTTCTGTCTTGCGCATCACCAGTAATGAGACAGAAAGGAAGAAAATGGTTGCTTTCCAGGGGAGTGGTGGAATGACCATGCCTCAAAGCGTTTGCAGACCGTGTAGACGAGGCCCTTAGTGCCATGGTTTAGTGGTGGCCTTGGCAGTGCTGCAGTAAAGGTTGAACTTGATCTTAAAGGTCTTTTCCAACCTGGTTGATTCTACGAAAGAGGGGGTTTCTCAAAAAACACCAAAACAAAGAGCTCTACAGAGTTAAATGGTCCAGCTGCTCCACTGCACCGTCTCTAACAGTGACAATGGACAACATTAGTCCAGGAGGACACAAAAGCCTGGCCACTTTCTACACCTCATTCTACTCATCCACAGCTTCTGTGTTAAAATGTCAGAGTGTAAATATTTATCTAGTTCTTTTAGTAGCTTTTAGACACACTGTCCAAACATTTGTCTAATCCTTTTCTGAACCTTCTGATACTGCCTGTATCTGCAAACCCTTACAGCAGAAAGCTCCAAATTTCCACTGCCTGCCATGTAAAGACACTTTTTTTTTTCCCTTGACCAATTTTAAATCCAGATACTATTCTCACTGAGCCTTCCCTAGTATGATGTGCTTGGCAAAAACCAGTTCTGCATTCACTTTAGCCACCATTTTCATTGCTTCCTGTTGTTCCTGTTACTCCTGCTCTCAAAAGGAGAAGTCTCAGACTTTTTGGTCTCTACTCTTAGGCAGACCACTCCATCCCTTTAATAATTACAGTTGCCTTTCTCTCTATCATCTAATTTCCCTCTGGCACCTATTAGTGAGCCCTTCAGTATCAACTGCGTATTCTTACATGAGGTGTGCTCTCTGTCTCAGGAGATAAAATGTTATTTCATCAACTTTCTAAATATGTAGCATTTTCTGATAAAACAAACCCTCTCACCTATGCACTGTCCAGTCCACAGAGAATGCTGATCGTATTTGGCTACACATGAATCACAAGCAAGGCAATGCACAGATCTCAAAGGCTTCCTTACCTAGTTGAGGGGAAGGAAAAGAACAGTCATAGCAAACGCATCTATTTCACTCAAAGCTTAGAGCATCTTCTCATGGGCACCATCATATTTTGTACTCTATAACATACATTTATTTTGTATAGCAAACATATATTCCATACTCTAACAGACCTCACAACACACAACATAAATTAAGATTTATAGTTCTCACCTAACAAAAAAATAAATGGAAATAATTATTTCATCAGGATTAGAGTCCAAGGATATCAAAGCATCTCTTTTGGCACTGTAAAAACAGAAATCTAAATAACACAGAACAAACCATGCATCTAACACTTGCATGACAAGCAATGAGAAGAAAGCTTTTTATAGCAGTACTGAGTAAAAGCCAGGTTCAAAACCGAAACAAATACCAAAGCCTCACTTACAAGACATGATGTGCAAAATGTTCTGAAGTCCAAGCAATTTGCTTCTGCAAGAGCTACAATGTTCTGAAAGACAAAGTAGTTTGTGCTTGCATGTGGATCACATTTCCAGGGGAATCTGAAGATTTTTACATTTGGCCTTTTGCAGATCATCAGCATTTTGAATGCCAAGCATTGATGGGAATAAGTACTTACTGTTTAAAAAGGTCCATGAGAAACACCAAACAGCAAAGACTGATACAACCTCCCCCATGCAGAATTATCCACAAAACTATCTCTGTTGCCAAAATTAATCAGTCATGTGGATGAAGTATTCTCCAAAATGAGATGGTCTTAAGATACAGTCAACCAGACCTCAGAGAGATGAGGAGAGCTGCTATATTTACTGTTCCTTCATGTGTACTAGGTAGACAATGGTTACTAGTCCTGTGGCAACAAGTTCAAATTGCAGTTTATTCTCCCTGGCAATCTGAAGAAATACAACCTCTTGTATTGAGATCACAAACACAGTACTTTACTTAATCCACAAGTTGGGGAGACCAAATACCAAAATCCCTACCGATTTCTTTTTGCCATTCTAAGACAGAGCTAGGAAATAGCACATCATTTATGTAATGCCTAAGCACAAAACCCAAACATTATATGCATCTTTGAAGCATCTAACAAAATATAAGTCATTTCTAGCCTTTGAGCTAGAAATTTCCAGTCTTATGATCATGGAGAGTTGTAGGAAAGCATCGTGAATATCTCTTGCTAACCTGAGACAACTGGATTGGCACCCATTCACAATTGATATTTACGAAGTGAAGTTCTATGTGAATTTCTATCACAGATAACACCAGTGGCTCTTTACAATGTTTGGCCAAAGGTCACATTTCAGTAAAACGGAAGCAAGGCCATTAAGGCAGGATTATGAAGATAAGGAAACAAGCAGTAGGAGGAGACCTTATCTACTATCTATGTGGTTCAATGCTGTTGCTAAAAAACCCTTGAGAGTATTTCACTGCTTTCAAGACTAACAAAGCTGCACATGATGGCAACCAAATCAACTATCTCTTGCACCAGGTGAGCCCTTCCCTTCATTTTTATGAAGTCACCTACCTCTTTCCTTTCTTTTTCTGAAGTCTTAATATATCCAGGATCGGTTCTCCAAGTTTTATAGAAATAATAAAGAAGACCCACAACGCTTAGCATGACAGTGATTTCAGGAATTCTATCTGTTCCATGTAATATTCAGGTTAAGGAATATATTCTAACACTGCTATTTGTCAAACAAAATACTCTACAATTAGTTTGTTACTTTATGAGCAACACACAAAAAGGAAAAGAATGAATTTCACTTTTATAGTAGGATCCTCTCTGTCCTTCAGAGGCCATCATATTGGAGAAGTTGAATACTCTGTCCAGTTTGAGCACTTGAGAAGACTTTTACAACTGTACAAACCGGCATCACAATATAGCTCCCTTTCATTCTCACTAGCAGAGTGCAGATTTTTGCCTTTTAATATTTCACAGATACAAAGTGAATTCAATTTCTTCTTTTTCTCACTCAAGTTTGGTATTGTTTCAATCAAACAGACAATCAGACAAGCATAGTTATTGAGCTTCCAGCAGCTGTAAGATTTGGCTGACTCACACCCCTAAGTCACTAAACAGGCCCTTCTAGGTCCTGCCCTCTCATATGCTTTAGCTAAAACCACTGACTAAACTCAGGCAGAAAGATGCAACTGGAAATCATCCTGGAACTACCTTTGTCACTCAAAATACCAAGCACACACTGATAAAACACTTCTGAAGGTAATGGGACAGCTACTGGGAATCCTCCTTCCCTCACAAATATACTACAAAATCCATAGAATCTTGGAATGGTTGGGATGGAAGGGACCTTAAAGCTCATCCAGTTCCAACCCCCTGCCACAGGCAGGGACACCTTCCACTAGAGCAGTTTGCTCCAAGCCCCGTCCAACCTGGCCTTGAACACTGCCAGGGATGGGGCAGCCACAGCTTCTCTGGGCACCCCGTGCCATGACGACAAAATGACAAACTTCTGGTCTAATTAGACATTTTTCCTGTTACATACCATTTGCTTTTACCCAGTGGCTGAATGTTTTAATTACAGGCTATGGAGGGAATTCATCTCTCATGAACTCCAGAGAAGCAGATTTAAATTCAGTATGGTTATTTGCCACAACTTCTCTAGCAGACAAATTATTATATATGGGGGAGGATACACAGTCATTAGGAACATGATTTTTACACTAGGTACTCAAAACATCTGTATGTCAGGTGAAAGCAGAATATGTCAAGATTAACTGTCTCTATACAGCAACAGAGGAATGTGGAGTGGGACAAATTTCACACCAGTTAAATCCCAGCACTGACCTTGAGAGCACAGACTGCTAAAGAACAGTCCATGAGGCCACCAAGGAGCAGTCAGAGCGCCCAAGCCTGGATTCCATCTCCAGTGACCTCTCAATCACTGTATAACCACACAATGTGAATAACTCTTAAAGATCAAGTTCTGCAACCTCAGGGTCGTTTTGTCTTATGAACTAACAATACTGCAAACAGCTCTAATTAAAACCTACATGATAAATTATGACATACTGGCACTGAATATTAGCAGACCTATAGCTGTGTTAGGGCTGAGAGAAGTCCTTAATTAGAGTGGCTGGATTTTCATTCAGTCTAGAGGAACAGTTTGACAGACATAAAATACAGCTAACTAAAATACTGAACAATTTTATAACACTCAAATCTGTAACCAGTTCCAGAAGGAAAACACATTCATAAGGAAAAGGGCTGGATACTGAAATGGAAAACTATCCTCTTGCCCATGTCACCAAGCTCTGGTTAGACCTTCAAGAACATTGCTCTGCTTCCTATCTTCAGCAGAGTGTCTGACTCAACCCCCTTACTGTTGAAATTTGTTCTCCTTTCCATTTATATGACACCAAGAAAACCTTAAAACTTCACAGTGCAGCCCTGAATAAAATGATTTTCATTTAGACAAGCATATGTGTGTATCCCCAGAGGCAATATACTTGATCAGTTCATCCAAGTTAATCCTGATAATTCTATTAAGGACATCTTAATTGGGAACAATACAAAAGAAAATGCCACTTAAAGCATGAAGTAATTAAAAATTCATTAAAATTGTGAAGCGCTAAATTACAGCTGGTTTAGTACAAAATTATTTACAGTTCTAAGTATCTCCCTAAAGGTTTTTTCATAAAACTTAACCAATGAATAAACAGATGTCCCCCGTATAACTTCCCAGGGCAGTGGTGGAATCTCTGTCCCTGGAAGTGTTCACAAACTGTGTAGACAAGGCCTTCAGTGACATAGTTCAGTGGTGGCCTTGACAGTCCTAGGGTAAAGGTTGGACTCCACGATCTTAAAGGTTTTTTCCTACCTAGTTGATTCTATAAGGGCAGGGCACTGAAAAGTAAATGTAAACTACTACAACCTTTTTGTACTAACCAGTGCAAAGCCTCTTGAAATAAAGCAAATGGAAGGTAGAAATCACTTCATCATACACTAAGAATGCAGCATAACCTGTGAATGGATAGGAGACTGGAAGATCTACTTTGAAGAGACCTGAAGAAATTTGTCCCTTGTTTTTTGGAGGCGAGGATGCTGTTTTTGAAAGCAGAAGCACAAATATCACTGTCAAGTCCTTGTCATTTTAGAAAGAAGAGATGCTTCTTATTAATGCATGTGTTATCCTGTTACACCACATGCCAAAATACATTAATCTTCCTAACTGAGACTCTCATACAGTACAGTCACATGGAGATGCTAACAGAGACAACCAGGTTTATATCAAAAATGCCTTAATTTTGATATTCCAGGAAGAAATAGTTCAGATTTGTACACAAATATCTGATAAAAGAAGGTACAGATTTTTAGTCCATATATAACTTGAAATTCAAGTCAAATTTATTACACCCCTGCCCAATGGAAGTAAATCAGTCTTACCAGATGTTAACAGTCATGTGGAATTATCTGGCACTGCTCATTACTATTTGCATGATGAGGCCTACGTTTATTAAAAAGTGTTAAGGAGAGTTCTACTGAATTTCTTCAGTATAAAGGATATCAGGCAGGAACCAGAAAAAACAGGTCACAGACATCAAAAAAACGGAGCTAAGCAGAAATGCTGTGGGAAGGTACCTTAGATTCTTGAGCCCAACAAGCTGCCTAAAAATAATGTTAAAAGAAAAAAAATATTTAAAAAATATATTTAAACCATAACATCACAGAGTATTCATGATTTGTTCAGTTATTTTTAAAACATCACACGTGCAGCACACTTCACATCTCTCAAAGAAATCAGTTCTCACTCAAATGCATTCTTCAGCCAGATGTGCAGGGAGTTAACAATGCAACAAATAAAACTGATGAGTGCTCTACTCCAGCCTGATATTATATATCAGAAAAGCTGTAGCACTGGGTGAAAAGTGCAATCTCTGTCTATTTGCACACTGGCAGCATTGCCATTTCAATGAACACAGACCGTTGCAGGAACTGCTGAAGAAAGCAGGAAAGCTGTGAAACAGCTCAGGTGAACACTGGGGGGTCTGGGGAGTAGAAGGGGAGGGAATGGTTCATCATAACTCATTCTGTGTCACAAATACAGAAGGAAAAGTTGAGATAAAGCATATTTCTGAGCATTGTGCATGGATATCTGTGTCTACTGGATGCAAACTTTCAGTAACACTCTATCACTAAAGTTAGCTAGTGGACTGCTTCAACACTTTAGTGGTTTAGAAGAGTTATTTATCCAAATCTTTTGGTGAAGAGAAACTATTATTTTGCACACCTGAAGACATTCCATTTCTGTGTCATTCTAAAAAGTACATCTATTTAAATCCTTCACACACTCTGCAACCATTTCTCAGGAGGCATCTTTTTTGCTAAGTGAAACTAAACTCTGAAAAAATTACTGCGTTAGACACCTTATATGGTGTCTGTGCCAGTGAAATACATGTATAGAGAGAAAAAGCCACAAACCTCACAAACAGAGCCATCCCAAACAGCAGGAAGAGGAGAAGACCTCCTTTCAAAAGCCAAGAATCAGAACTTAAGTTCATGACGTATCCTATGGCCCACATAAATGTCAAGGAAGACGCGAACAGCAGGACGAGCTATTAAGATTATCATGGTTAAAATATGATGAAATATTCAACCAGGACTTACTTCAAAAGCACTCAGTTAATGTAATAACAAATGCTAAAGGGCTCAATATAGATAAGCTAAGGTGACACTCAAACAACACAAACCCCCCACCCAAACCACTGCTACACGTTTTAAAAGAATTTCGGTTTTGTGCATCCATTTTCAGAAGCCTTAGATGATCCTCTTGTTAAGAAAGAGCTGAGCTGTATTAGTATTCTAAACACAAAATGCTTTAGGTTTAATTCCATTAGTTTTTACTTAAGAAATTACCTCATATTTGTCTACTATTTTCAGTAATATATTATTTCTTTTGCTCCTCATTCTTTCTTCCTCTTTTACCATATAAACCATGAAGCGATTCAGGCTTTGATAAGCAAGGTCACGCGGTGTCTCTCCCTTTAACAACAGAAATGTTTGGTTATTTATGCACTTAACACGTAAGTGCTTTCCTTTTTAACAGAAGCAAAAAATAAATATAGCAAAACCAAGATTAACTGGGCAATTACTTCCCAGCCCCTCCCCCTTTTATTTTAAGTCAAGGAAAAGCTAAATTCAGAGTTTTAACATGCTTAATCCAGTGCTTTGTAGTTCAAAAAACTGTTGCTTGCATTCAGGTCGCATCCATTCAAGTTACCTGCTGGACTGTCTCCAACAACCTGAAACACTAAACTGTCTGATAAACAAAAAGAGGGAGAGAGGGCAACACAGTTTGCAAAGGAAAATCAGAGTGACTGAAAGGCTCAGCTTGTTCATTTAATGAACATTGCAAAGAATCTCTGCATCGATACTTTGAGCCACACCACAAGAAAGGTGATAATTCCTTTTGGGAACAACTAAGAACCTCCTAGTCAACCCCCAGTGCAAAGGATACCCAAAGTGGAGAGGACTCTGGTTTTTCTTTACATTCATTGTACACACTCACACCCTGTGGAACGAAGTATGATGAAAGAAATTGTACCTTGACATTTTTTATGTCCAGGCTAGCACCAGCTTCCAGCAACAGATCCACTGCACTAGTATTTCCTGATGCTATTGCCCAATGCAGTGCAGTGTTCTTTTGAACATTGTCTACAGCATTGAGAGAGGGGTTAAACTTTAAGAGAAACCTCGTGGGTTCTGGTCTAGATGAAAATAAAGTATAAAAGTTAACAGACAGAAGATATTGGATATGAAACTTTTGAATACCTTATAAAAACCACTGCTCCTCTCCGTGAAATAACAGCAGATACACAAAGCCTTGTCTCAGAACCTGCTTATCAACAGTAATTCTGAGTTTACTATTCAGGACCTGGCCTCAGGGTTTTTCTCCAGACTACATTATTTTACCATTTTAACAAACATGAGGTATATATACACACAGGTTGTATATAGACCAGACTTTGAGCAACCTGGTCTAGTAGGTGAACCCTTCTCATGGCAGGGGGTTGGAACTAGATGAGCTTTAAGATCCCTTCCAACCCAAACCTGTCTGTGATTCTACGATTGCATCTTTCTACAATACTGTATACTGTGAGAAACAATGGAAACTATTTGATTATTGCCAAAGAGAAGTAACTGCTTGGCTGGAGAAGGAAGAGTTAAAGAAGAAACAAAGTACATTGTGCAATTAAGCAGAGCAACTCAGCTGGCTGAGGAGGAAAGAGCATAAGATACCAAGACACCTGGCTGAGGAGGAGAGAGCATTAAGATAAGAGACTGGCTATTCTGGGACTGGTTGTGAGAGAGCGAGCAGTGTTAAACAACAAACTATAAGTCAGGAACTAAACACGATAGGCTACAAATAGAATGGCGTGAAAGCTAGAGCAATAGGCTAAAAATAGCTGTTGTTAGAATGGTATAAAAGTTAGAGCAATAGGCAATAAGGTGATTCACTGCATGAAGATGCTCTGGGTCCGTGTCGTTAAGCTCCACAAATGGCGCTCCACAATGGGGCAGAATGGCAGTGACTAGAGCGACTGGTGGAGAGCACAGCCAAACGAAAAGCAGAAGCAGCGGGGACCGAGAGCTGCAGCCCGGGCAACTAATCACCGAGAACAAGGTGAGCGGCTGGGAACATAAAGATGGGATCACAGATTTCTGCAGAGGAAAAATCAATACTTTGCCTATTGAGGGAAATACTAGAGAAACGTGGAATTTTCTATGATGAACACACGCTCCCATTGCTACTTGCCTGGCTTAAAAGTAAAGGTGTAGCAGCAGATGCACAGACTGCATTCCTTATAGATACATGGACTAAGGTGGGAGAAGTTTTGTGGGATGCAGCCACCAAGGGCAACGATACCACCACAAAACTCCTGACTACATTGGCGATTGGTTATTGACTCTTTAAAACAACTTAAGACAGATCATGTGGCTCAGGCAGCTGCAGTTGCAGCTACCGCTCCAGCAGCTAACTCGTCAAGAAATGACTCGGAAAGTAGGGTTTCGCAGCAGCACCAGTCCTCCGCCACGGCTCTCCTAATGGATTTCCAGTCCCCACTTCGCCGCCTTACCTCCCTGGGTTTGCAACTCTTGTTCAACAACAGGCTGACCCACCACTCACTGACCTGAGTGGAGATGAGTTCCCTGCCAGTAACACGGCAAACACTACGAACTATGAACCTGTAGTGCACTGGCAACGCCTGCGACGAAAGGCAGCAGCCAAGGGAGAGACAGCAGTTGCTGCCGCTCTGAAAATGGTATCCAATGGATTCCCGCGAG